CCTCGAGGTTTAAGACTTTTGTCATAATTAGAATGCAAGTAATCAGGTTAGCAGAAAATTAACTTTTAAAAAAATCAATGGAAAATGTCAATTGATATTTTTTTTGACATTTGTGGGGTGACAAAAGTCTGTGGGGGTCCTCTGAAGGTACCCTCGCAATTTCAGAGTTTTGTCACCTCTAGAACCCCAAAATCCCAAAATCCACATATTATTATTAACTACAATAAACAAATGGTTAATTGTTAATTGTCTTGCACTCAATACGCTAATAGATATTAGTTTTGTCAAGTTTTGTCGGCCTTTAATAATCTGCTAAATCATCTTCCAAGGGTGGAAACTCGGTCGAGCGTGAGAACCACTGCTTTCCTATTTTCGGCAAACGAATTTTCGGCTAGCTTCCACTCCATAGATGGGGACGGACAAAAGAGAAATTTTACTAGACCGCAGTAGAAAAAATCATTCTCGGCTACAGAAAAAATCCTGCCCATCTGTGAATGATTACGCAATATTGAGCAATTATTCACATTCATGGGATATTTTTTTAAGGAATAAATGGTAAATCTTACGGTTTCGGCATTGACTAGAAAAACTCACTATTCGTCTCGCACTTTTTGCCTCGAATTAGGGTGAAAAAGACCGAGAAATGGATCCCGTTCCACGATTACTTGACTAGTTCGCTAATTTTTCTCCAACTTTTGTCTCCGTATAATTACCCCAACGTGAAGACTGGAATTGACTGTTGCCTAATATACATTAATTACTTCACCACGATATTAAATCGATAGATTTTTTGTTTTATTACCTAGCAATTCGTTTCGTGCCGCAAAACTGCACGAGATTTCAACAGCAGTTACAGAAAAAAAACAATCTGTTCAATAATTCAACAGCAATTAATATCCAATCCCGAAGCGATTATGATTGTCCATGTAAAAAATGTCACTCCCAATGCCAAAGAAACATCATCGATGGGAAAAAAATTTGACAATTGAAATCTCAGTGCAAGTCGATAAGTCATCAACAAAAGGCAAAATAACAGAAACAAGTGATACATTTTTGCTAATTGAATTGAAAAAATAATTTGCAATTATTCTTTTTTATTTATTGTATATCGAGTATTATCCACTAATTGTCTACGACGATAAAAATTTATGTACAAAATTGCAGTCTGCGGGCATTGCACGGTATTAAAGAGGGCTCGTGGGAAACGAGGCCACCGGATACTTAGTTGGTCCCCGTGATACGCGTTTGCGAGGCAAACGAGCCCAATCCCGGTTGGTGTTCGTTCAGTTTAACACTATTATAATACGTCCCCGCAATTGCGATTTACTACACGCACAACGGAAACCAAATACCGGTGTTGAATGTCTTTCACCCTTCAACTTTTTTCATCGTAAAAATTAACAGTCACTGTATTTACAAAATTATTTCATAAACAACGTGTGGTTGAACTGCCATTTGCCCACACGTTCCATTTCCTCAATTTTTCCTCCGCCCCATTTCATCTTCGGATGTTTATCAACTCGCCTCATCCCATTTCTACAAAAAAAAACAACTCTTCAAGCCATATTTCCGATTTCCCGAGTCTTTTTGGCTGAGAATTCATGTCGCGAATTTTTCGTTTTTTTCCCGCATTTCAGTTATTTTTTCTCCTGAGACCCCTTGAGAAAAAGAAACGAATGCATTAGTCCTTCGCACAACTCTAACCAAAAAGCTCTGACCTTTCCCGTATTTGGATCGAAGGTCGGCTGGAATAACATCAGAACGAAACGATAGCACTTGGAAATGGACACAAGTAGTAGATCTCTCCCGATAGCTATCAACACTCAACCGTGGGAATAAACAAGATCTCATCCCTCGTACGCTGTTTACATTGAAGATACGACTCGTTTGGCTTAGTTGGTCTTAAATTTCAGGCTGACACATAATGGAGTGACATCGAAACTCCCTCAACACAGCACTTCCCCCGATTTTCCTACCTAAACGAGTCAACAAGGCAAGAATGAAGAAAAAACCGAGGAAATTTAAAACCTCGAAGCCCTATGGAAGACATTACAATAGTTTCATTCAACTCCTACGATTAAAAACACTGGACCAATAATGAAAGACCGAAATTAGGACGAGAACTCCGAGAATGTTGGCGAAGGACTGGACATGACGAGTGTTCCACTGTGTCCGGATGGTGTATTTCCATTTTCATAATTCTCACCGACTCTCGCTGATATAGTGGGTATAATACCACAAGTGATCGCCTCAATCTCAGCTGACTGGAGAACAAGGAGTAAAAAAAATATGAGGGAAAAAGCGATAATGGAGCATCGAGGAGCTGAGATGTCACTCAGGAGATAATGAGGAGAGAGAAATAGGAGAAAACGAGGTGTAAGGATGTAGTCATTACCTGGACGGATCCTGTGAGAGACAAATCCAGGGGATCAAGTGAGACTGGCTCATTCATCTTGCTCACATCATGAAGATCATGGCTCTTTGGTAGTTCGTGCAACTGCGGAACTGTGAACTGAGTGCCATTTTCGTCAGCATGACCGCGTAATTCACCATTGTGCACACATTCCTCCCCTTCAGGTGAATTATTCTCCTGGTCCTTTGGGCTCGAGGGGAGGGGCATCTCGACCTAGCTGAAGGAGGTCTCATCGCAGGATGGGCTCGCGGGTAACTGCGACTCTCCGTTGATAGCTTTCACGTCGGGCTGACTGTGCCTCGTTGGACTACTTCGGGAATACGAGGTTACACTCTGCATTGTTTGACTCCGGGGGCATGCGAAACGCATGCTGTAGTTCTGTCGATTGTGGTGACCTGGACCCACATTGCCACCACCGGTGGCGCCCGGTGCCATCTGAAGCCACAATAAACGTGAAAATATGCTGTTAAAAAACGTATACCTACGAGGAACAAAGGGAAAAACCGGGGAAAGAACTTTATCTCGGTGTGATCTATTTTTACTCTATTTTTATGTTTTTCGATTTTTTTGAGTGCGCGAATGCACGGGATTTATTCACGCTATAGTGCCTTGATCTAGATATTCACTTTTTTTCCCTGTATTCGTTGGGGCTTCAGGCGGCTGTATTAGATCCAATTTTGGGGCACGGAATCCCTCGGGCAAAGTGGAAAAATAGGAATTTGGGATTTTTTCGTCTCTTTTTGTAGAAAACGTAGAGATTTTTTAGAATTTTAACGAGAATCCCAGATTTTTTCATTGTTCTTTATGGAGTTTTTTTGAATGTCTGAATAAGTTACAAAAATATCCAGATCATTTCAGAAAACAACACAATTTTCATGAATTTTTTAAACAATCTAGTGCTTCCATTCTTTCTCAAAATTTTATTACTTTCTATAAACGGGACATTTCCAGACAGACCGAGAGATCTCCAGAAGTTTTGAAACTTCCTACAGTGCACCCTCTTGTCTGCGCAATAATTTATAGTCCAAGGCCTCACAGAGGCGCTGAACTACTTAATAATAGAAATCCCATTGAAATCCGTTCAATAGTTTTTTCGTAATATTTGGAGAGTCGGATTTTCAGACCTATCGATTTTCGAAGAAGTCTACATGAGTCTGTAAATGACACAAAAACGAAACATATTGATGAAATTATTTCCCAAGAATTGTCCATTCACCGAACAGATTGGGACAGTGCTTCTCCTCTATTGATGCCAAAAAAAAATCTCAAGACACTGCAAGCCTTTGATCGCAGTACTTACGTTCGGATGGCCTGGTCTGATGTTCTTTTCCGGCTGGAAGAGTACGAGATATACTTTGGGGGTGAATAGACATCCCAGGACAACCGTAGCCGAGATGTTGATGCACATACACATACTTGCTATTTGAATCTGTGAAAAAGGAATGCCGAGGTGAAGTGCAACTAATGAGAATTTTAATGACGCACTGGCCCAAATAAGTTCTGTCCCGCCAAGACACACACTGAGATGCTGAATGTGGACAGAACTTTACTGGATGCGTGGATTATCATGAGAATACGTACCGTGTAATCGTTGTAAGTACTAAAGTAAATTGGTACGAACGCCAGCCATACGATACACGTTGAGTACATGGTGAAACCAATGTATTTAGCTTCATTGAAATTTGCTGGTATTTTCCGTGTTTTAAATGCATACAATGTGCACAGGAGTATGAGCACCATATTGTATACTAGTGACATCATCAGTGAAAATGTTGATACACGACAAGTGAGCACTGCTGTCAATGGACTTGGATGAATTTCTTTGATGTCCGGTGCTTCTATCACTAGCCAGGCTATTGCACCGATCAACTGGACCGAGGTTATTCCTGGAATAAAAAATACAGCTGTTGAAAATTCTCTTTTTTTACGTGTGATCGTGTGGCCAAAGCGAATGAAATACGAGAAAGGTATTTTATTTTGTTCATTGAGACTGGGAAATACATAGAGGCAATCTCACCAATAGCAATAGCCACTTGACTCCTTGGTGAGGTGTACGATGGCCTTTTCACCGATATTTTATCCACATTTATTATACGCGATATGCGAATTGTTTTTGTTAATATGGCACTGTAGCAGATGCTCAAGCACAAACCCAATCCAATGCGCAAGTATGTGCAGATCCAACTTGTGGGTTCACTCAGGATGATGAAAGTCATTCCATAGCAGGAGAGAATTCCAACGAGTAAGACGTAGCAGAGCTCTCGGCCGGAGGCCTTTATCACTGGTGTATCATTGAACCTTTGGAATTATCGTTAAAGACTAGGAATTAACGTAACTCATCGAGAGTGCGATGGAAGATACTGTTGAAAGCAATGAAATTTCATGAACAGTTGACTAGTAGTTCTCAGGGCAGTGGTATTTAATTCAATTTTGGGGGAAGAGGATAATGACATTCGAATTTTAGTGAAAATTCGGTGTAAAATTTTATGGTATATTTTATTATCGCCATGGAATATGAGGAGAGAAGAAAAATAAAGTCTATTGATAAATTTCTACAGAAAAATTAGCAATTGAAAAAGTGTAAAAAGATTAAATTCTACAGAATTTTCTGTGAAAAAAGCGCAGTAAGGCTGCGAGATTTTTCAATATAATCGGCCAAAAAATAATAGAATCCGCAAACAAGTTTAATGGAAATCGATTGGAGTTTCCTATCAAATTCGCTAGTTTTTTCTCTGAAAATTTTACGTTGCCTGGTGTCCCGCAAATTTTAGTGAAGTTTATTTAACAGTGCATAAGAGAATCCATTAGACCCAATGGGGTAAATTGATCACCAATAAAACCGAAGGATAGTTTGTATTGGCCACTGGAGAAGACGAGATTAAGCCATCCGGTGCGAACAAAATAAACCAAAGTTGATAGTTCTACAAGAGAAATCTCGCTTGATGAGATTAAAAATTCAGCGGATGGAATGAAAGTTTTTAAGAGGAGTGAAGAGAAGTGTAATGAAGGAAAGTTAATATAACTTACCGCAAAAAAACGACAAAAGTGAATAGAGTACTGAGTATTCCAATGCCAGCGAATGCAAGTGGCACTATTGCCCATGGACTGCGCCAGTGGATAACTTCAGCGGGTACTTTAATGCATTTAGATTTCCAGATATCAGGTGCCCATCCGGGCTCGCAAATGCGACAGGTATCGTTGTAAACGTAGGATGTCTCCGAGCAGCTCATGCAACTCCAGCAACAAGCGTCCTATAAATAAATTCAATTGCATTTTTGCGATGTTGCATTTTTTATTGAGAATATCAAAGTGGGGCAATGAAATTCAATTTTTTACTACGAAGATATTCTGACATCAATTTGCCTTCAAATCCATCGGCTTCAGTTCAGTAATTTCGACTATTAGTCAGCAATAGTTTTAATTATTGAAGTAATCATCAATTTAAATCGTCAAATTTCGAATTATTCATTAATCAGTGATTGAGTTGGGAAGATTGACGATTATTTGGATAATCGGAAATCCCTTATAAGAAATTTAGATTATCAATTATTTTACTATTTTTAAATTTCGATTAGTATATTTAAACCTTGATCAATGTAAGTCGGAAATTCTTTTAATATTGAAGAATCGGAGGATTGATGGCCATCCCTGATGGTCAGTTTTCAATGAATATCTCGGAATCCTAGATAGATAGCAAAATTTTTATTATCACCTTTCTTGTAGCCCCAAATTCTCTTTACAAAAACGATCCATACGAAAATTTCGCTATTTCCCTTAGATTCGGAGATATTTCTCGGAAACTCATCTAAGAGCTAAGTCGACTTGAATCTTTTTACCGCTTCGCTAGTGAGTTGAACGCAATAGAACGAAAATTCATAGATTTGATGAATATCTACCATCGTTTACGAAAGCGTAAAATATTGATTTCTTCCTTAAAATCTTAGATCTTTAATTGTGAAATTCGTAGAAATTTCAGTAGGAAAAATTTAATGAATATTTCCAAAGAGTGTACGGACATTTCATCCAGAAAATTGTTGGCATTGCATACGGAATTGCCAGTAATATTTAACAATGTGAATAGTTGGCAATGATTGATCATCCGACCCACTATTTCCAGTTGTTACCTTCAATCTCACACTTGTCACATCGAGACCTCGCAAGAATGCAATTTTCGCGAATTAATTGTATAACAGAAACAGTTCCACAAGGACGACCTTAATATCCTCATTCCCTTACGTAATGCATTCACTGAAAGACTGGATGGGATTAATGAAAGTAAAAACGTGAATAAGACACTAAGAATAGAAAAAAAGAGGTAATAGTCGGGAGTAAAAGGGAATAAAACAGAGTCCAGGGGGAAATGAAGAAATAAAAAAAAACTAAAGGGAGCGGGACGCAAAAAGGACTCCGGGGGATTGTCAATTGCGGCAGATACCGCAAGGATACGTAACAAAGAGTTAATGCTATCGGATGATCATTTTTTTTATTAGAAGACTCACCGACATGAACGAGTCAAACCACAAAAAAGTCGAGATGAAAATCGAATACACGTGTAGAGAATGGAATCAACTGAGGGAGAATAATTATACAGAGCAATTACTTGAAGCAACAGAAGTTGGAGAAGTGAAACGAGTCAGTTGAGAGTCAGGCAAACACGGTGAGAAATTCAGTTGGAGGGTGTGATGGGGAATTTCCACGTCACTACGTCATACGTAGTATAATAAAAATAGAGAAAACGCTTTTGTTTGAAAAAGCCCCGCGTTCGCTTTGAGCTGGTGGTGAAGGTATGGGAAACGAGACCCCGAAATATACCGAGCGTGTGCTTGTTTTCTTGGTCAATCGAATGGGTAAATTGCCTAGACATCGGGCGGCAAACGGCGGG